AGCAATAAGAGAAAAGTAACTACGACAAACAAGAAGAGACCTATGAGGTTAGAAAGACTCTCCTGACTCTGCCCTGAACATTTCACAGGAAAACTGATTTCCTGTAAAGAAAGAGCAACAACTCTGAAGTCAATCCAACAGAAATTTATTACGAAGGAAAAAAACGTAGAACAGAACAATGTTCCCACGGACAGCAAAGTTGCCAGAAGACGGAAGGAAGAAAACTGTCACCTATGGCTCAAAAGACACAAAGAGAGAGTACAAGGCTGGAAGAAAACAGTGGCTGAGAACTGGGAAAGGTCAGAAGAGAATGAAAAACTGAAAAAGAAAACACAGGTTTAGTAATGAAGGCTCAACTATAAGTAACATAAAGGTAAATAAACACGGTAAATAATAATTTAAGAGAAACACAGGAAAAGGGAAGAATTTTTTTTTCTTTCCTTTTCTTTCTTCTTTTTGTGGTTCTGAGGACTGACGTAGGTAAATAAACACGGTAAATAATAATTTAAGAGAAACACAGGAAAAGGGAAGAATTTTTTTTTTCTTTCCTTTTCTTTCTTCTTTTTGTGGTTCTGAGGACTGACAAGGCCCTTCACACTGAGCTATATTCCTATCCCTTTATTTTTTATTTTGAGACAGAGTTTTTGCTAAGTTGCTAAGTGGCCCGGTTAGGCTCAAACTTGCAATCCTCCTGCCTCAGCCTCCCAGAGTGCTGGGATTCCAGGCATGACACTGTGCTCAGCTTGGACATTTTTTTATTTTATTTAATTAATTTACTTATTTATTTTTGGAAAAAAATTTAAATAAAAAAGAAAAGGAAAGTGAGAGCTACTGGGTTCAAAGGGTTTGTTTGGGGGTGGGTAATGAAAGGATTTTTTTAAAAAGAAAGTATTTTTAAATTAGTTAGTAGATATGGTCGCTCAATTTTGTAAATATACTGAAAACTGCTGGGCATGGTGGTGCACACCTATAATCCCAGCAGCCTGGGAGGCTGAGGCAGAGGATCGCTTCAAGTTTGAGGCCTGCCTGGGCCACCCAGTGAGTTGAAGGCCAGCCTGAACTATGTACCTAGACCCTGTCTCAAAAAACTTCTGAGTTCTATACTTTAAAAGAGTGAATTTTATAGTATGTGAATTATATCTCAATAAAGCTGACAACTACGGATGTCTATGGTTTTAGATCCGTATCTACAAGAGGGATTGTACTATAGTGTCATCCTACCTTCAGAGATTAAATCATAATATCTGCCAGAGGAAAAAACAAAGTAGAAATAAAATAAAAAGTCCAAATATCCAAAAGGAAGAGACAAATACTATTGCTTCTCGGCCTTTTGGCTAAGACCAAGTGTAGGAAGACACAAATAACTGAAGCCAGGCTATGAGGCTCTAACACATAGGCAACAGGAGCCCATAAAGAATAAATCCAGGGAAAGGGAACAAAATAATTCTAGAAATATAATTTCACTTGCTTGAAATTATTTTAAAAATTGAAATTACATATTTTAAAAGTACATTGCATAATTGAGAATATCAACCCAGACTGATCAATACCAAGATACAATCTAGACAAAGTACTAGACTTGACAAAAACAAAAAGAGGCTGGATGTGGTGGCGCACACCTATAGTCCCAGCCCTCAGGAGGCTGAGGCAGGAGGATTGCAGTGAGTTTGAGGCCAGCCTGGGCTACGTGGTGAGAGGCTACACAGGTCAGCCTGAACTACATAGAGAGACCTTTTCTCAAAGAAAGAAAGAAAGAAAAAGAGGAGCAATCTTTTGAACATGTAGGCAAAAAAGAGCAAGAGACTTACCATGGAAAAGACAGATAATCGGGGTTTTCAGTAGAAATGTCCTGTGCTCTGTGTCAGAGGAAAACCATTTAAGATGTCCAAAGAAAAGGAAGAAAGGGGGCCAGGGATGTAGTTCAGTGGTGCCGCACCTGCCTGGCAAGTGTAAGGTCCTGAGTTCAATCCCCAGTACCAGAAAAGAAAAAGGAAAAAGAAGAGAAGAAGAGAGGGAGAGAGGGAACATGATGAGCAAGGATTCCACGTACTGCAAAGCTGACTTTGAGCACAGAGAGACAAAATTATTACCTGCCCGCGAAAATGCAGAGAAAACTGTTCACATGAGCCTCACACTGGGAACTTTGGAGAAAAGCTTCAGACCACCAGAGCGATAGGCGCCGGGCGTTAAGAGTGGGCATATGCGTAGCCAGCTGGACCGAGGGACAGAGGGGGCTCAAGGGGGCTTCGAGGTGAGAACCCCACGTACTGACAGTGTGAACACAGTACAGTTTCTCTCTCCCCACCCCTAGTCCTTCCTAGTGGGCCAGATCCCAGGTTTCATCGAGCCAGGGGATCCAGAAAGCAACAGGGCCCCTGAGCTTCATGAGAGTGGACGATCAGCAACTCCTGGAGACTGGGTCAACCGGCCTGGGTCTTCAACAGACAAAGAAAGGGCTTAGGGGCTGTATCTAGATACCCCCTAAAGCCCATGCGGTCTGTGTGGGGATTTGGGAGGTGGCTGGGTTAGGGCGTGGGATGCTGGGATTAAGGGTGCCCTGCCCTGGATATGGGTGGTACCATTGATGGCTTCCAGCTTGGGCAGAAACTGTATCGGGAGCTTCTGCTGCTTTGCTGATGGCTGCTGTAGCTCCTGCCTGCCCTGCCATGAACTGTTTCTCTTCTGCGATGTCCCTCTGCCCTGCTCCCCTGCCCTGGAGCTAGACAACTATGGACTGAAACCTCTACGGACTGTGAGCTAATAAACCTCTCTTCCTTTAACTTTGGGTGTCAGGTATTTAGTTTCAGCGGTGAGAAAAGCAACTAAGGTAAAAGGAAAAGGAACAGATGCAGGGAGACCAGGAGGTTAAAAGAAATCCAAAGACATGATTTCTTTTTAAGCAGAGAGAGAACGCATTCTCGTGTCCCAGGCTGTACACGTGGGTGACAGCTATGAAGAAACATAGAAAGTGTCAGCACAGACCAGTGGCCACTTTTGGGGCAGGGGCTGTGATTTTTATGGGACCCCATGGAGGGGCTCCCTGGGGGCCCAAGGCCAGTTCTAGACCTGAGAAGCGATTTCACGGCTGGTTAAAAATATAGCCGAGCATGCTCATGCACACCTGTAAGCTCAGCAATCTGGAAAACTGAAGCAGGAGGATCACAAGTTCAAGCCCAGCATGCACAACTTAGTGACTTAGCAAGAACTTTTCTTAAAATAAAAAATAAAATTAGGGCTGGGACTATAGCTTGGTGTGAAGGGCCTGGGATCCATCCCCAGCACTGACAAAATAAAATCTCATCCGCCAAACACAAACCCTGCTCTTTTCCTCCATAGCCTACTTTGAATCTACCATGTGACATACATAGTCACCCACTTCCAGTGGGTTTTGTCTGATCCCTTCCACAGAGGGCGGCGTTTCTGTCTGCTGTGTCCCAGTACCCACGACGTATGTGGCACGCAGTGCGATACCATTATGGAACGAAGGAGCCTGGGGAGGAGGAGGTACCCCTGGCGCCTTCTACCTGGTACAGTGCTGGTGGGGGGCCTGCCCAGTTGTCACAGCCAAGATGCAGCATCTGGACAGGATAGCGCTCCTTACAGAGTGGGCCTGGGTGACAATCATCCCTACATAGCCCAGGTGTACCACAACTGATGTGGAAAGCCACTGAACACAGGACACGACAGCCAGCCACAGGCCATAACCAACAATCCATGCCCAAGCATCAGGGCTCAGTGCTAAACCCCAGAGTCTCCCCTGGCACCTGGGACATGGTTTGGTCCTGTGCAGGTACTGATGCCCGTTTTCCCCATGACGAACTGGTCAGTATTTTACCGTGTCCTCCTGAAGCACCTCCTGAAGTAAATTAGAGAGCACAGGTTTTCACAGCCACTCCAGAACCTTCTATGGCCTGTACCTCACCAGGCCCCATCTGCCTCTCCTGGCCCAGCTTGGGCTCTGGCTCCCTCTGCCCCTGCTCCACTGGCCAGGAAACCCTCTCTCCTCCTCAAGCCCTGCTCCTTCGCCCACCTCACTTTTCCTTCCACACAGGGAACCTCTGTTCCATGCCTGGCCCCTGCAGGCCCCAGAGCAACAGAGAACAGAAGAACATAGCCCCGCAGAGGTCCCAGTGAGCCAGGAAGACCTGACAATGGCAGGTTACAGTCTACTTCCGGTTACCGCACAAGGTCCCCAGTGCCAAGACAAACAGTTCATCCCTCATCATTCACCCCTGAAAGGCAGTTTGATTATCTGCAAACTAAGGCCCAGAGTCCAATGTCACCAAGCCAGCAACTGGCAGAGCTGGTCTTCGAAACCAGGCGCTCTGGCTATGAGCCCTTCAGAACAGATAGAGGCAGCTGCTGGGGTGGGGGTGGGGCTGCACCCCCGGGCAGGATCGGAGGCGTCATGGTGGGGGAGCTGCGCTGACAGTGGGGGAGGGGTGGGCCTCAGCCAGAGCAGAGCTGGACAGCTGCCCAGTGGCCGCACCTGCAGGGGCCATCTCAGCTCTACTGGGGGTGCAGGGGTGGCAGGTCTGGCTCCCCACAAACAGCGGCCTGTGTTTAGCTCTGAGGGCAGTGGTGGTGTGGAGCAACATGGTGGCTGCTCCCAGGGAGGCTGGAGGGAGGAGCAAGGACTGGTGGGGGTGGCCATGGCCGGGGCCTGACACCCCTCTCTGGGCAATGGTCCTTCTCATCCTAGCTCCCACACTCACTCGGGAATCGTACTGGGTCTCTGACACTCAGTTTCCTCCTCTGTAAGTGGGGTAGAAATGGCCACAGCCTTCGAGGTTACTGAGGCTGATCAAACTGCTGCAGGAAAGGTGCCCAGCAAAGCATGCCCAGCAGGTGCCAGAAGGGTGGCTGTTTTATTGCACTGATCAGCGCCAGGTGGGGGTAAGGAAGTCTGCCCTGGAAGGACTCTGAGAGTTGAGCCCTTTATCTCCTTGGAACGAAACCCGCTCGCCCTCTGACCCCAATCCCTGGGGACTGCTACTCACCACCACCTCCAGGTCTGAGTTCAGGTGCCGCTGAGTGTCTGACATCTGCACCAACATCTCGCCTGCAGGCAGAGGGAGCAGCAGCTTCAGTGTGGGGAGGGGGAGGGGGCAGCTTCAGTGTGGGGAGGGCCCCCCCGGAGGGCCCCCCCACGCCACACCCCCCTAGGAGCTGGTCCTGAGTGTGGATTTCAGAACCAAAGTCCAGGAATTTCCCCTCTGACTCTGGGGATGCGCAGGCTTATCCCAGCCTGGGCACAGCCCTGGTGGGAGTGGCACCGAGGGGCCTGGCTGCGGGCCTGTCGGGGTGAGGGTTGCTGGGAGGGCGAGTGTGCCGAAGGAACCCCCTCCGGACCCCAAGAGTGGGCAAAGGCAGAACCCGTGTCTGGGAGCAGAGGCCCAGCGGGGAGGCCAGCTGGGAGGAGTGACCCCTACCCTACCAGGAAGAGGGGGTACAGCAGAGGGAGAGGGCCTCACCCAGGATCTGCGAGGTGGAGCTCTGCAGGGCCTGCTCCCCTATTTTCTGGATAGCACTGAAGTACACCTCGGCCGCCTCTGACAGAGCTGAAGAGACAAGGGACAGTCCAGCCTCAGCCCCTGCATCCGTCCGCACCCTTTGGAGGCCCTGCTTTAGACAGTGTGAACAAGGGACATCTGGGGCCTGGCATAGGTGTACGAGAGGGAGAGCGTCACGTGTGTCTGTCATGGGGGAAGCAGGCCTTGACTCTGAGGGCCTACGAGGGAGGGAGAGGCTGGTGGTCCTTGCTCTGTTGTTCACTGGTGCTGGTGGCAGATGGTGTGGGAACTATGGTGGCTGCAGCACACTGGGCCAAGGGGGGCCAGTCTCATGGGAGACCCACAGAGCGGGTACCACTGAGGAATCTACCACCAGCCGGTGCAGGCTGGGAGCAGAGGTAGCCCTGGGCCTGGGCTGGGTTTTTTGTTTGTTTGTTTGGTGTTTTGAGACAGGGGTACTCTATATTTTGTTTTGTTTTTGATTTTTTGTTTTGGTACTGGGGATCGAACTCAAGTCCTTGAGTTTACGAGGCAGGCGGTGGCACCACTGAGCTAAATCCCTGGACCCCAGGGTTTCTCTATATAGTTCAAGTTGAACTTGAACTACGTAGCCCAGGCTGGACTGGAACTCCCAGCAGTCCTCCTGCCTCAGCCTCCTGAGTGCTGGGATTACAGGCGTGTACTACCATTTCCATCCTGGGGTGGATTCTGAGGGTGTACACTCAGCTGTGGGGACTGCAATACCTCGTGCTGGTCTCAGGCGCATCTGGGGCATGTGGGGGGCACTGGGGCGTGGGTGTGGATGGAACGGGGCAGAGGCTGTGTGGGCACAGGAGGTGCATGCGTGTGAGGCAATGGGACGGGGTGGCGGACCTAGGCTGAGGAGGCCCTGTGTTGGTGTGGGCTCAGGCACTGGTGATGGTAGGGCGGGCAAAGCCAAGGGGCTGGGCACCAAGCCGGGCACTCACCATGGAAGGCCCGGAGATAGTTGTTTCCCAGATACACCAGGTTCTCTAGGGCAGGGTTGAACTGCTCCATGATGCTCTGGACCCAAGGACGAGGAAGGCCGGGCACAGAGACAGGAAAAGGAACAATGGACAGAGGTGCCCACTCTGAACCAGGGGAAACCCAGAACCCTGGCTCTTGGCTGCAGGGCCCCAGAGGCCATCTTTTGGGGGCCGATCCAGGCCACAGTCCCCTTGTGTCATCTGCTGCTCCATAGTGGTCTGGCAGAGCTGGATGCCCCTGAGATGGGATACCTCAAAGGGTACCTCCTCCTTCCCTGGGCTGAAGCTTGCCCATCTGCTGTGCTCCTGCTGGGCACAGCCTGCCCTGACCCGCATCTGATCCTCTCTGGGCCAGACACACAGGGCTGGGACGGCCACCTCAGGGGTGGAGCAGGCTTTGCGCTTGTCAAAGAAGAGACCCCAGGAGCGGGGCTGTGGCTGGGTTGCTATGAGCCCCCTGGGTTGTGGCCTGTTGGAGAGCACCCTGGGAGGTGGAGATAGCCCTGGTCTTGGATTTGGAATTGGGTCTTGATTCAAATCCCAGCAGCACCTCTTCCTCCCTGTGACCTTGACAAGCTGTTTGACCTCTGTGGTCTTGGTTCCCTCATCTATCAAATGGCGGTCGGTTATTTTCTATTTCACAGATTAGGAGAGGTAAGGCTTATATGCGAGGGGTCCTGCTCACAGGTGCTCAATAAATGTCGTGGACACTGCAGCAAGTCCTCACAGGAAGTTCAGAAATGGAATCGAGGGAGAGTCCCCGCTCCCCAGCCCACACCCAGCCTTCCCCTGGGACCTGCACCTTGCGACTCGACAAGCCGGGTCCCTGTTCCTAGGCACAGCCGCCTAGGCCCCGGCCCCAGGCCCCATCCTGCCTTGTTAGGAGGAGGAAGCAGGAGTCCTGCTGAGTGTAAGGCTGACTGATCCCATCACCCCACTCCTGGGCCCACAGCTCAGCCCTGCGTGGCTCCGGCCTCCTTCCCAGAACCTGTGGCCCGCATCCGCCCTGTTCTCGGGGCAGGCGGGACCTCCATACCCCAGCCTTGTGCTCACCTTGTAGATGGCCATGGTGGACCTGTAGAACTGGTCCATCTCAGGTGCCATGGGTGGCCACGTGGGCACTGGGCAGGAAGCGTGTGGCAGGAGCAGGGCCGGGCACCCCCGGGTCAGTCTCTGCAGTGCCCGGTGCTTGGCAGGAAGCGAGCAGGCTGGAGTGGGACCTACAGACGTGGTGGCCTTGGAGGAGGTAGCCACTTAATAATTTACCAGCAGGGATGTCAGTGTGATCTGGGGCGTAACCAGAGCCGGCAGGGAAGGCATCCTGTGACGCAGGCTGGTTCATGTGACCTGCCCTTCAATTATTTACCTCTCTTAGTGTGGGCCAGTGGGCACACTGGATGGGACTCCCCCAGGCCACCTTGTCTTCGGGGCACTGTCCTGGCACTGGCCGCTACCAAGCACTGTCCATTCCACAGGGCTGGAGTGCTCGACGCCCTCCTCCTGGGTTCCCCAAAGCAGCCCTGGAGCCAGACCCACCCATTCAGTGGACACACTGCTGTCCTCAGACCTCGCCTCTGCTCTGAGCCTGGAGGGGGCACCGGATCCCCATGCCCTCCCCCACATCTGTTCCTGACCACCCAGGTCCTCTGAATGCCAGAGAGGGGGTGTAGGTCTGAGGACAGACCACGGTCCTGCTCACTCAGGAGCTCTGTTCCCCACGTCACCCCACCTCTCTGACGGGCTGTCCTCCACCCCCATGGGCCTGCCTGGGGCAGGTGAGCCTGCTGCTGCCCCCAGACACCCCACGGGCCTGTTGTGCAGAGGCCTGCAGAGGTGTTCCTGCACCAGCACGCTGGGCCACAGAGCACAGGAAGAGGCCAGGTGGTGGCTGGGGAACAGAGCACAGTCACACCTCGGTGCACTGGGGTCCACACCATTTATTTCACAGTTTTTGGGGCCCCCACCCCCTCCCCACTCTCAAATGCTTCTGCACGAAGTGAACTCATGGGGTGACCTTTGCGAGCTGGGGAGGACTCAGGGTGGGGCGGCTCCGAGGGTAGGGTGGCCGGATGTGCAGAGAGGCAAAGTCAAATGGAGCATCTGCCCCCGGAGCCTGGGTTTCCCGTGAGAGTGGGGGGCAGACTGGGAAACCTGAGGGGACCTTGCAGGTCTAGGGGCTGCAGGGTGTGCCGGGCACTGTAGTGTTGTAGCTGAGGGGACATTGGGCCACTGGTCAAGTCATTTGTCCCTCAGTCAGGGGAAGGAGCTGAGGACTCTGGGCACTCAGCCTGCAGTGACAAAAGATGCGGAAGGTGGTGAGGAGGGCGACCAGCCTCAGGCGAAGCTGCTTGCGCTCCAGGCCCCAGTCCACCAAAGGGTGCGGAGCAGCCCGCCCTGGCTCTTCCTGGGTGGCAGTGGCCTCGCCACAGGGAAGAGAGGAGCTCAAGGTGAGAGCAGCAGCTGGACCAGCTTCTGAAACTGCTCTCGGTGCTCGTAGATGTAGACCTCGGTCTCCCAGAGTGCGTTGACCAGCACCGCATCGCTGACCTCATCCAGCATGATGTCCGTCCCCAGCTGGGGGTTCAATCTGTCCAGAGCAAGGAGGACAGGTCACCCAGGTACAGTGGGGACAAGAGCAAGGATGGGGTGGGCTGGGGGAACACAGCAGCCCCCTGGGAAGGGCAGGTCCACGCTGGGGGGTGAGGGTCATTGGGTCCCACCAGGCTGAGGCGGTGGCGCGGCCGGAGTCCTGGGCTCACCTGAAATACTGGATTCCCACCATCTCGCACCAGGCCCGGGCCCGGTCGACAGCCCGCCCATCGGGGTCCGTGCACTGGGGGGAAATAGCCTCCATGAGCCCACCCGCAGACCCGGCACTGCCCACCACAGAGACCCCCAGGTCCTAGTGCCCATCATAGAAGGCGAGTCCCCCTCCTTTGGCCCGGGGACCCCAGCTGTGCAGTCTGTGGCAAGGGTTTCACATGTGGCTCAAGAGAGTCTGTCTGGGGTCACCGAATGGGTCACTGTCTGGGCTTCTACACCAAGCTCTTTGCAGAAAGGGCTCCACAGCCAGAGGACACTTGAACATACACACTATGGCAGTAAGGGCAGGGGTGTCACTGAGCTGCTGTCCTGGGCACCTCCCCCTGCAGCTAGCTGAAGAGCCTGACAGATCTGAGTCTCAACTCAGGGAGAGGGCGGAGACCCCAGGGAAGCTGGAAGGGGGCCCAGACTCACACAGTCCACCACCATCTTGCCCAGTTCCTTGGCCCCAAAAACAGTCTTGGCCAGTTCCCAGGGGTTGCTGGGGCGGAAGACGTCCACACAGCTCACAGGTACCTGAGGGGACCGCCCTGTCCCCAGAGACACCACAATGGAGAGTTTCTTCACCTTGTTGCCCTGACCCTGTGGGGAGGAGGACAGGAGTAGCTGAAGGAGACCCGCCATGGATGGGTGGACCCAGGGGAGTCAGAGAGAGGCACTGGGGGCACCACAGAGGGGGAAGAGGCCAGAGGACCAGGGCACACCTGGGTACACTCGGGCATGGCTCCTGGCCAGACCCTATAGACGGGGTCTGGCTGTGTGAGACCAGCCCCCTCCCTGAAGGGCTGATGTGGTGTCACTCAGATCTCTTAGGAAAGCCCTGTATGTACCAACAAGGCCTCACACCCCCTGGCTGTGGGTGCTCCTGCCAGCCCATGGGCTGAGGCAAGAGTCAAGGTTAGGGCGGGGAAGGGAGAGGAGGAGGGATTGATGGGTCTTTGGTCTCTGCTGCTTACAGGTGTTCTCACCATGGTCTCATTAATCCTCCAGGCAGAGCAAAGAAGGGTATGACCACCCTGCTTCACAATCAGGACTCTCAGCCAGGCTGGGACAGACTGGAAAGAGGTTTCCCAGCCACACAGTGGGCCACAGGGGCTGAGACTTGAACCCAGGATTGCGGGGGCTGCCTGGCATTTGTTCAACAACACTGTGCTGCTGATTTGCTGGGTGGCCTTGGTAATCCTCCTGGGTGATCTGCTCTGAGACCCACGCTTCTCATCCTTAACAGGACTGTGACGGAACAGACTTAAGTCTGAGCCCTTCAGGAAGCCCACCTGCCAGTACTTCGCAGGCCATGGCCACAGTCTTCACAGTACCCAGGGCAGGCACTGTTCCCTGCTCCCTGCTCCCTGCTCGGCAGCTAAAGTGAAGGACAGACCAGACAGGTGACGTCCCCTGGCGGGAGAGCCACTGACTCCGCTCCATCCTGTCCTCAAGGGTCTCAGAATGGGTCCCCAGGCTTCACAGCAAAGGCCCTCCTCCTCCTCCTCCTGGCCCTGCATAGCTCCTGGGGACACTGGGAGACCATGCCCCGGCCACGGTGGACTGCACGGGATGGGAGCTCCTTGTGGAAAGCACATAACCCCTGTGGGGCAGAGCGGCAGACGGCCAGCTCCTGCCCTTCCCACTGTCTGCAGGTGATGTGAACTCAGCCCAGCGCTCTTTGGCACACAGCACAGGCTGGGCCTAGAATCCCTCTTAGCACCTGCTGGGTTCCAGGGGGTAACGGCGGGTGTGGGGTGCAGCACTAGATGTGTGTGTGTGTGTGTGTGTGTGTGTGTGTGTGTGTGCGCGTGCGTGGGTGTAGCCTTCGCTGTCCTGGTTGACTCTGCAGTTGATGTGTGTGTGTGTGTGTGTGTGTGTGTGTGTGTGTGTGTGTGCGCGTGCGTGGGTGTAGCCTTCGCTGTCCTGGTTGACTCTGCAGTACACATTCATGCCCAGGCCCTCTCACCTGACATGGCTCTCACCTTGCGGATCAGGTCCTGATTGTACTCGTGGATCTCAGTCATGGCGTCCAATGTGGGGTTGTTGGCCAGCAGCCCGCCATCCAGAAAGCGCCCATTGGGCCGGAAGTAGGTGGGGGCTGCTCCGCTGCTCCGGGCTGCCCGCCACACCAGCTGCTCTGTGGCAGAAGAGACTGTGATAAGTAAGACCTTGCACTTTAGATCCCAGGGTATGTGGTGGGGGGCAGTGCAGGAAGAGAGAAAGTCTGGGAACCTTTTTTTTTTGGCTGTACTGGGGATTGAATTTAGGGCTTCCACACTGAGCTACATCCCCAATGCTTTTTTAATTTTCAGTCAAGGTCTTACTAAGTTGCTAAGTTGCCCAGGCTGATCTCGGACTTGAAATCCACCTGCCTCAGCCTCCCCAAGTGTAGGGATTACAGGTGTGTACCACCACGCCTGGCTAGTCTGGGAACTCTTCAGAAGCAGGCCCCCCAGGCTGTGCTGCTGAGCCCCGCTGTCCTCTGGAAGGCAGGGTACTGCTGAAGACCTCAGGTCTCCTCTAGCTGGTCAAAGCTCGAGGGGCCCCATCAATGTCTATGCTCGACCATCTGAGACCAAGGCAATCTTGGGGGCTGAGGGTGAACGACATCCAGCCTGCAATTCCCACCCCCCACCCACAGCGTCTGAGCCAACTACCTCCCACAAGTGCACCAAACCTGGTTTTCACCTGAGGGCTTAGCTGGAGGCTTCAGGTTAATGTTCTGGCTGAAGCGAGGCTCCCGGACGGCCTCTGGAGCCTCATAATTCCGGAAGAGGTGGAGCTCGGCTGGCTGCCGATCAGACAGGGTCCCGGTCAGCATCACCCTGTGGACAGGCAGGAAGGAGGGCAGCTGACCCACCTACCCGGCCACATCTCCCTCGCCCAGCACCCTGGCCCCATCCCCAGAACCCTGAATCCTGCAGTCTCAGGGGTGTCAGACGAAAGCACCCGGGCCTTGCTCAGGCAATGTGGCGAACTTTGCCCTCGTGCTGATGAGCCTATCTTTCCCCCGGTGATCCTTCGGGGAATTCACCCTAAGAGGCTGCCACACGTCGGGGGCCCAGGCAGCACATGCTCCTGCAGCAAGTGACTGGGAGCAGCTGCAGTGTCTGTCGGTGGACAGCCCAGTGGTCCACAGCTGCCTGCCCTGCCCACGTGCTGTCCCAAGGGATGAGCCAGGCAGGGGAAGAACTTAGGCATCAACGAGACATTTGTGCAGGAGGAGCAGGGCTCGGGACACTTCACCAAGCCACAGTTATTTCAGGACTCTGAAAGGACCCGCCTTGGTGGCCCGGCAACAGCGAGCTGGCTCCAGGATGGGAACTGCTCGGTGGCTGCAGCTCCAGGAGGGATGGCAGGAGATTTCTGTCTGTGGGACCTTTGATACCTCTCTAGTCTTCCGCTATGTGAGTCACCAGCTGCATACTTAACCCGAGAGACACAGACATCCAAACGCTGCTGGTGCAGCCCCCCAGGAAACTAGCATGTATCAAAATCCTTACAACTGTCTGGCTCCTGGATCTGAGAAGTCTATATTTGAATAATCTTAAATAAAATGTGTATAAGGCTGTTCACTGCAATGTAATTCATTACTGTGAAAAATCTAACTAGAACAACAGAAGGGGTGAGTGAACAACGATGCATTTTGCAGTCGATCGACGTTATACTGACAGAGTTCAGAGTAACATGAATTGTAAAGAAAAATATAAAAGAAAGGGACAAAAAACTCCACAGCTCCTGCGGACACTAAAAAATTTTTTTCTTTAAAAGGGAGGCTGAGTCAGGAAGATAAGCAGTCCAAGGCCACTTTAGGCACTTACTGAGATCTTGTTTCAAAATAAAAATTTGAGAAAAGGGCTGCTTGGTGGCAGAGTACTTGCCTGTAGGAGTCTCTGCATTCAACCCCCCTCCCTACAAACATTCAAAAAGACCAACAAATTCTATGCAAGGTACAAGAGAAGAAATCCCTATCTAGATGTAGCAGAGTATAAATACAGAGATCAAAACAATAACCAAAAGCATCCAAGGCCGAGGCCAGAGGCCCATCGCCTGTAAGAGAGTTCCAGATTACATGGATTTAGGCTGCCATGACAAAATTAAGAGACAATAGAATGGTATTTTACATATTCTAGAGAAGACAAAAATCACCAGACTAGAATTTTAGTCAACATGAATGACAGTGAAATAAGGTGATTTTCAAGTGATGACGTAAAATTAGCTTCTTTTCAAACAATCCTGCTAGTGGAGAATTTACCACTAGCAGATCTGCCCTAGGGAAAGGAAAGAGAATGCGCTAGGCAGAAGGAGAACCACCAGGATGGAAGTTTAACATGCAAGAAAGAATGCAGAGCAAAGAAGTCACACACACGCCAAGGAGTCACTTCGTATGGGCTTAGAGAACCTACTGACACATCTCACAAGCTGGCCATTAAATTGTTGGTAACTTCAAATCAGCACTTCCCCTGAGACATGGTTACCACCATAGCAGATCTTTCCAGGTAGATCTAAAGGAGTACCAGGTTAAAATATAACAATGTCTACGAGGCTGAAATAAACAAAGTAGGAGACTCGAAAGCACAAGGTCCCAAGGTTCGATCCTGGTACAGGAAAAAAAAATAAATAAATTAATTAAAAACAAGGTAGGTTAAGTCTTTGTAAATAGGGGAGGTTGGAGGGGGTGAAGGGAGGGCAGGGGCATGGGGAAAAAATGAGAACCAAAACCTGACATGTAACTGTACTGTATACCTACAATGTACCAATAAACTCAATAAAAAGAAAGAAAATGGCTTCAGTTCAGAAATTGAAAAATGTATTTTTAATAATCTATTTAAAAATTACAATAAAAATTATAAATCTTTTGAGCTGAATGACAATAAATATGCTTATAGGAGTAGTCAAAGCAGTACCTAGGGGAATGTTTAGATTTATACATATACAGACGGTATCTAAGCAGCCCTCCTTTCCTGTAGTTTTGCTTTCTGTGGTTTTAGTTGCCTATGGTCAACCATGGTCTAAAAATATTAAAATAAACAATTCCTAAGATGTAAGTTGCATGCTATTTGGAGTAGCGTGATCTGGTGCTGCCCTGCTCCCTCCCCGGGTACCCAGTGCTGTCTCAGTTACCAGGCTGGCTCTCACGGCTGTTGTGAGACTGACTGTGGGCCCCGTCTTCATGCAGTTTCAGACACCCTGAGGTCCTGACACCTATCCCCCAGGGTGAGGGAGATCTAGTGTATACACACACACACACACACAAACACACATGCACCTCACACACATCATATAGAGCAGCAGAAGAAAATCAATGACAAAACATTTTATTTTCATTAGTTGCTGGGTGTGGTGGTGCACGCCCATAATCCCAGCATTTGGGGAGGTTGAGACAGGAGGATCCAAAGTTTGAGCCCAGCCTAGGCAATTTAGAGACTTAGCAAGAGAGACCCTATCTTCAAATAAAAAATGCAAAATGGCTGAGGATGTATCTCAGTGTGAAGGCCCTGGGTTCAATCCCTAGTTTGGCCAAAAAAAAATCCTAAAACAATATACAATACAGAGTATTACGGTTTATATCTGAGACGGCCCCAAAGCCTCGTGTACTCATAGGCAGGGCTTTGGGGGGTCACTGGATTATGGAGGCTGACAAACGACATGTACTAGGAGGCAGGGTCTAGCCAGAAGAGGTGGTCCTGGGCTTATCTGCCCTCCCAGCTCTTTCCGCTCTCTGCTTCCCAGCTGCCCTGACCTGAGCTGCTTTCCTCTGCCCAAGCCCTTCCATGTTGCCAACCATGCAAAGACTGAAATTTCTTTTTCTTTTTTTT